GGCGGCTTGCGCGGCCGCGAGGGCGGGGAGGGGCGCGCCCGCCGCGGATGCCAGGTGGGGAGGGGTGCGTGTGTGGGAGAGACCTCCTTGGGGTGCACCTGCCTGGGGGTGACACTCCTCTAGGGCGGCATCTGCCTGGGGGTGACACCCTCCTCGGGGCGTGCCCTTCTGCTGGTGCACCCTGTGGGGTTTGAACACTCCTTGGGGTGCACCTGCCCGGGAGTGGCACCCTCCTTGGGTGACACTGTCCTCGGGGTACACCTTCCCTGCCATGCACCTGCCTGGGAGTGACACCCTCTTTGGGGTGACACCACCTTAGGGTACACCCTCCTTGGGCTGCACCCACCTGATGGGGACACTGGGGTGCACCCTCCTTATGGTATACCTGGCTTGGGGTGGCAGCTGTCAGAGGGTGGCACCCTCCTTGGAGTGACACTTGCCTGGATGGTGCAGCTGCCTAAGAGTGACACTCTCCTTGGGATGCACCCTGCTTACCATGCACCTTACTTGGGTTGAACCCTCCTTACAGTGCACCCTCTTTGGGGTGTACCTGCTTGGAGGTGGTACCCTCCTTGGAGAGCAGGTGCCTGCAAGTGACACCCACCTGAGGGTGACACTGTCCTTGGGATGAATTCTCCTTATGGTGCACCTTCTTTGGGTCGATCCCTCCTTTTGGTGACACTTTGCTTGGGGTGGCACCAGCCAGGGAAGTTGCATTAGGTCTGGAGAGCACATCTCCACAAGAGGGATGTGCCATGGGGTGGGAAGCATGGCCGCACACACACCCTGCGAGGCCCAGCTGTAGCATGGGCTGGGAGACAAGGGGTGGATGGGTAAAAGGGATTGATGGGAATGAAATAACATGGGCAGGTGGGGGAGCAGGGAGGAAGGGGTGGAGGGTTGTGGGGTGGTCGGGTAGTGGGCTGAAGGGGGAGAAAGGAAGTGTCATGGAGAAGGGTGGTTGTAAGGTGGGCAGTAGGTGTGAGGACCTGCCTGGTTGGGTGGTGCCAGGACCTGGGTCTTGTATGCTGAGGAAGGGAGGTGGCACTTACGGATATCTCCTTGCTCTCCTTCACCCTGGACTGCAGGCTGGGAGGAGTGAAGACCCAGTGAGTTCATGTGTGTGGTTGGGAAGGGCTGAATTTGGGGGGATGGTGGTGCTGCCCACCGCTAGTAGCTGCTGGGCAGTGCATTGGGGTGTGATGGTGAATAAGCATTCTCCCTTGGTAAAGCAGCTACAGGAGCCTTCTTGTGGGTCAGTAGCTGTGTTAATACAAAGGAGCAAAACAGATGCACGAGGAAGGAAACATCAATACATCAGCAGTCAGTGCAGCCAGCTGAAACCATCTCCATATCTTGGCAGTGCTGTCAGATGCTGTTTCTCATGAGCTAACAACTCATCCTAATGATAGCATTATCCATTCCTTAGCATTTCAGCCCTGGGACAGCCTGCAGTCTGGTACGGTGATGTTGTATATTAAATAATAACAGCTGCTCTAAGCGGGCTATTTCTTGCTAGAACTTCTTATTAGAAATGTACTTTTGGGAGAAGAAAACCCTATCCTGAAGGAAACACCCATTTAGTGATCCCAACTCTTTCCTGTGATGAAGATTTTCCTTTTTACTCATTAAAAGACAACTGCAACCCCAAAAAAGAAAGCCCTTGCCATGCTGCACAGTAACTGAGGCTTGCAGGCAGCTGACGCGGGTGTGTTTGCTATAAGGTGAAGGTCTCCCTGCTTTGCAGTGCCGTGGCCTCAGTTGCCTCTTGCCTGGGTGATGGGACCCCTGTGAATGCTGTCCTGGGACCTCTGCGTCTCCAAACCAGAGCTCAGGCAAAGCAGGAGCAGCTGCTCCTCAGCTCAGAGAGCTGTGCTAGTGGAAATGGTTTGTTGTTTGTGTAGAGGCTCAGATCCATTTCTCTTTCAAGCAGTCACCCAACGGACAATTTCAGCTGAAAGTCCAAAAAGTTTCCTAAGGAAAGCAGGATGTTCTCCCTCATCTCCTAAATAGGATGTAAACTATGTCTGGACCATGTGAATAGTTAACATTAAAAAAACCATGCATGCTCATCAGTAAGTAGCATGGTTGAACCCTGAAATTGGTCTAGCTTATTTGACGAGTAGTTCTACCATCTTTTAACAGTGTTAATTCTGACCTCTCCATTTCTTATTCAGCCACAAGAAGTAGCAGAAGGCAGTCACAAATGCATTCCCCACTCTGAA